CTATTTCTGTGAAGAATGTCTTTGAGAGGCTGATTGGGATTGCATTGAATCTGTAGGTTGCTTTAGGTAGCATGGATATTTTAGTTGTGTTTATTCTTCCAATCCACGTACATAGAATATCTTTAAATTTCTTTATGTCATCATCTATATCTTTCAATAATGTCTTATAGTTTTCATTGTATAGGTTTTTCACCTCCTTCGTTAAATTTATTCCTAGATACTTTATTCTTTTTGTTGCAATTGTAAATGGGATTGTATTTTTGAGTTCTCTTTCTGTTAGTTCATTATTTGAGTATAGAAATGTAACTGATTTTTGTAAGTTGATTTTATACCCTGCAACTTTGCTGTAATTGTTGGTTATTTCTAATAGTTTTCTGATGTATTCTTTAGAGTTTTCTATATATAAAATCATATCAACTGCAAACAGTGCGAGTTTCACTTCTTCCTTGCCTATTTGGATACATTTTATTTCTTTGTCTTTTCTAATTGTTCTGGCCAAAACCTCCAGTACTATGTTGAATAAGCGTGCCAAGAGTGGGCACCTTTGTCTTATTCCTATTCTCAGAGATAGAGCTTACAGTTTTTGCCCATTGAGTATGATGTTGGCTGTGGGTTTGTCATATATGGCCTATTATGTAGAGGTATTTTCCTTCTATACCTGTTTTATTGAGAGTTTTTTTCATAAATCGATGTTGGTATCGTCAAAGGCTTTCTCAGTGTCTATTGAGATGATCATGTGGTTTTTATTCCTCATTTTGTTAATGTGGTGTACCACATTGATTGATTTGCATGTGCTGAACCATCTCTGTGTCCCTGTATAAATCCCACTTGATCATGGTATATGATCCTTTTAATGTATTGCTGTTTTCAGTTTGCCAATATTTTGTTGAGGAATTTTGCATCTATGTCCATCAGAGATATTGGCCTGAGAAGTTTTCCTTCTTTATATTGTCCTGTTCTGGATTTGGGATCAGAGTGAAGATGGGCTCAGACAGTGTGTTAGGAAGTGTTCAGCCTGCTTCAATTTTTCAGAATAGTTTGAGGAGGAGAAGTCTGAATGTTTGGTAGAATTTTCCAGAGAAGCCATCTGGCCGTGGACTTTTATTTTTTGGGTGGTTTTTGATTACTTTTTCAATCTTTCTATTTGTGATTGGTCTCTTCAGATTCTCTATTTCTTCTTGGTTCAGTTTTGTTAGGTTGTATGAGGATGAGAACTTATTCATTTCTTCTAGATTGGCCAATTTCTTGGTGTATAGTTTTTCATGGTATTTCCTTATCCTTCTTTCTATTTCTGTGGTAATTGTAATTTCTCCTTTTTCATTTCTAATTTTATTTATTTGAGTCTTCTCTCTTTTTTTCTCAGTGAGTCTGGTTAAGGATTTGTCAATTTTTTTTTATCTTCTCAAAGAACCAGCCCTTAGTTTGATTGATCCTTTCTACTGTTATTTTTTTGTTTGTTTCAATTTCATTTATTTCAGCTGTAATTTTTATTATTTCTCTAATTCTGCTGACTTAGGGCTTTGTTGTTCTTCTTTTTCTAGTTCAGTTAAGTGTATTTTAAGATTGCTTATTTGTGATTTTTCTTGTTTGTTAATGTGGGCCTGTATTGCTAAGAATTTACCTCTCAAGACCACTTTTTCTGCCTCTTATATGAGTTGGTATGGTGTATTTTCATTTTCATTTGTATCCATATATTCTCTTGTTTCTGCTTAATTTCTTCAATGATCCAGTGGTTGTTCAGTAGCATGCTGTTTAATCTCTACATGTTTGTCACCCTCCCAGGCATTTTCATCTAGTTGATTTCTAGTTTCATAGCATTATGGTTGGAAAAGATGCTTACTATGATTTCAATCTTCCTAAATTTATTGAGGCTTGCCTTGTTTCCCAACAACAAGTCTATCTTTGAGAATGTTCCATGTACACTTGAGAAGAATATGTATTCTCCTGATTTAGGATGGAGTGTTCTACATATATATATTAAGTCCATCTTGCCTAGTTTTTCATTTAGTTCCACTATTTCCTTGTTGACTTTCTGTCTGGTGCATCTATCCATTGATGACAGTGTGGTGTTAAGGTCCCCTACTATTATTGCGTTTCTGTTAATGTCTCCTTTTAGGTCAATCAGTAGTTGCTTTATGTACTTTGGTGCTCTTACGTTTGGTGCATATATATTTATAAATGTTATGTCCTCTTGGTGGAGTGTCCCTTTTATCATTATATACTGCCCTTCTTTGTCTCTCGGGTTTTTTCTTGAAATCTACTTTGATATAATTATGGAAACACTTGCTTTCTTTTGTTTGCCATTAGGTTGGAGTATCATCTTCCATCCCTTCACTCTAAACCTGTGTTTGTATTTAGAGCTAAGTTGTGTTTCCTGGAGGCAGCAAATTGTTGGGTCTTATTATTTAATCTATCCAGCCACTCCGTGTCTTTTGATTGGGGAATTCAATCATTTTATGTTTATAGAGATTATTGATATATGAGGGCTTAGTGCTGCCATTTTATCGCTTATTTTTCAGTTGTTATTTTTTTCCTTGTTTTCTCATTCCATGTATTTCAGACTGCCAATTCAGTTTGGTGGCTCTCTGTGATGGTTTTCTCATTATTTATCATTTGTTTCTTTGTTATGATTTTTTATTTAGTGGTTACCATGTGGTTTGTACAAAAGATCTTGCAGGTGAGATAGTACATTGCCTAATAGCCTCTTATTCCCTTAGTATTAACAGGTTTCATCTAATCTGTCTTCCCCTTCTAAGTAGTTGTCGTTACTTATTTTGTTATTTGTTATGAATTTGTGGTTAAAATGAAGAGATTATATTTATTTTTGATGTTTTTCTTCCATTTAGAGTATTAATTAAGTGTTTGCTAATGTGTTCTGATAGAGAGTTGCAATTTTCTGATTTTGTCTGCCTATCTATCTCCTTGGTCAAGGCTTTGTAAACACTTTATTCCTTCTCTTTTTAGATATCAAGGCTTTCTTGATCAAATCTTGTGTGTGGGGGTCTTGTCACAATGAACTCTCTCAGCTTTTGTTTATCAGGGAAAGTTTTTATTTCTCCATCATTTCTGAAGGATATTTTCATTGGATATAGTATTCTCGGCTGAAAGTTTTTGTCTTTCAAATTTTGAATATATCATTCCACTCTCTCTCAGCCTGTAAAGTTTCTACTGAGAAATCTGCTGAATACGATAGGGGTTCCTTTGTAGGTTATTTTCTTCTACCTTGCTACTCTTAATCTTTTTTCTTTGTGATTGACTTTTGCTAGCTGTACTAATATATGCCTTGGAGAAGGTCTTTTTACGTTGATGTAATTAGGAGTTCTGTTGGCTTCTTTTACATGTAATTTCATCTCCTTCTCCAGGATGGGGAAGGCCTCAGCTATTCTTTCTTTGAACAAGCTCTCTGTTCCATTTTCCCTCTCTTCTCCCTCTGGAGTACCTATAATACTTATGTTGCATTTCTTAATGGAGTCAGACATTTATCAGAGAATTTCTTTGTTGCTTTTTAATGTAAGTTCTCTTTCCTCTTCCGTCTGAAGCATTTCTGTGTTCCTATGCTCTAGATTGCTAATTCTATCCTCCATACTGTCAGCTTTGTTATTTAAGGACTTTAAATTTTTCTTTATCTCATCCACTTTGTTTTTCATCTCCAAAAATTCTGATTGTTTTTTCTTTATAGTTTTGATCTCTTTTGTGAAGAATCCCTCTGTTCAGTAATTTGGTTAGTGATGTCATTGAACTGTCTTTCAGAATTTTCTTGTAACATGTTGAGTTTTTTTATGATGCTTATTTTGAATTCCCTATCATTTAGATTGTAGAATCGTGTGCCTTTGGGGTTGATTTCTTGGTGTTTGTCTTTTTCCTTCTGGTCTGGAGTATTAATATCTTTCTTTATATCATTTGAATGAGTGGATTTGTGCTGGCACATAGTGATAATATTTGATCACAGGTTCTACCTGCCACCACTGGTGGTGGGACAGGAGCTTTATAATCTGAGCCTGCCACCACAATCTCTGTCAACTGTGCCTGTCCAAGCCTGGGCCACTCCTTGGGACCACAGAGACCATGTGGGGTCTCCCATTGAATGGGAAAGCAGTCATGTGGGGGCTCAGGGCTGCTGCTATCTGCTTCCACAGTCCCACCAAGCTGTGCTCCCCCCTTTGGGGCCACAGCAGTATTATATGTGTTCACAGCAGCTGTGAGCTTGCTCGGTTCACCTGGAGTCAGAACTCAGCTGCTGTCTCCTCCTAGTTTGCACCAGCATTTGTGATTGGTGGGCAGGACCTCCCCTCTGGGACCAAGCCAGAGCCACTCCCTGGGACTGTGGTGGCATTGTGGACTCTACCACTGGATGAGAGAGTGATTCCATGGGGACTAAGGGCTACTGCCACCTTCTTCCACCAACACAAGGGATTGTGCTCCCCCCTTTGGGGCCATAGTGGTACTATGGGCATTGGCAGCAGCTGAGAGATTGTTCACTCGGGCCACATCTCCACTGCCGTCTGCCCCTAGATCTGATCTTAGGTTTCACCAGCTGTTGTGCTTGGTGGGCGGGGCCTCCCCACTGGGTCCAAATCAGAGCCACTCCTTAAGATTGCAGTGGGATTGTGGATCCTCCCAACAGATGAGAGAGTGCTCACACAGGGGTTCAGGGCTTCTGCCACTTACTCCCACATTCCTGCTGTGTCATCCTTACCCCATTTGGGGCTAAAGGAGTACTATGGGCATTCACAGAAGCTGGAAACTTGTTTGACCCAGGCCACAGCTCAGCCGTCCTCTGCTCCTAGGTTGCACGATCCTTTGTGCTTGGTTGGTAGGGCTTACCCACTGGGACTGAGCCTGAGCTGCTCTCTGTGAACCATGTGGTCCTGAAGACTCTCCCAGTAGATGGGGAAGTGATCACATGGGGGCTCAGGGCTGCCTTCACCTGTTTCCACAGTCGTGCTGAGGCACACTCCTACCCTTGGGGCCATAGCAGTGCTATGAGCACTACAGCTAAGAAAGAAGTTGCACATGTGTGCTGGGCCACCTGGGGGCCATAGGGTACTCTCCTATCTCCACCACCTCCACAGAGGGTCATCCATCCACCTCAGATGTATAGCTGCACATGTCTCTCAGACGTCCTGATGTGCTGTGTGGATATCCTTTGCTGATCAATGAATACCCATCTAGTTGTAGTTCAAATGGGGAGAAACAAAGGGAACACCTCACTCCACCAGGTTTCTGATGACCTATTCCCTCATTTTTAAAGGAAATTTTCACCTGATATAGAATTCTTAGTTGAAAGTTTATTTTTTTCCTTTCAGCTCTTTAAATACATAATCCCATTACCTTATGTCCTCCAAGGTTTCTGATGAGAAATATATTGATAGTCTTATCCAAAATCCCTTATGTCTGATGAATCATATTCCATTTGCTGTTTCAAGATAATCTCTTGTCTTTGTTTTTCAACAGTTTGAATATAATGTATGTGAATGTGGATATCTTTGAGTTTATCCTACCTGTAAATCTTTGAGCTTCTTGGATTCATTGATTATTTGTGTCTTACATTAGTTTGGGGAGTTTTTGTTCATTATTTCTTCAAACAACCTCTCTGTCTCATTCTCTCTCTTCTCCTTTTGGGACTCTGATAATGGATATATTAGTTCACATAATGGTGTCCTAAAAGTCTTTTAGGGATGTTGACATTTCTGAATTTTTTTCTTTCTATTCCTTAGACTCCATAATTTCTATATCTTTTTTGATATTATCACTTTATACATATATGATTTACCTGGTTTCCTTTAGTTCTTTGTCAAATTTTTCCTATAGTAATTACAGCAAATATGAAAGACTTGTTTTAAAAGTCTTTGCCTACTAAGTCCAATGTCTGTCCTTCTTCATGAACAATCTGTACTAATTTATTTTCTTCTTTTTAATGGATCGTGTGTTCTTGCCTTTTTGTGTATATTTTGTGTGTGTATTTAATTGGGCATATGAAAAAACAGCCACCTTTCCCACTCTATGCAGATTTGTTCTACATGTTGACAATCCTTCACTTATCAGCTTAGAACACTCCTATCCCTGGGGTCAGCGTAACATAAAAGCAGATAGTATATTCAGTTCTTTTCTGAGCAGGCATATTGCCTGGCCTGTGCATGGATTTTTTAAATCACCTGAATATATTGCTGTACAGATGGCTCCCACAAATTAACAGCCCAGATTCTCCTCAGGGCTTTATATTGCCTATTCTATGTTTCCACCCTTAATCTCTTGCCCCTGGCATCCTTGCATCTATAGTCCCCCTGCAGCTGTAAGGAGCCATTCCAGCTGATTTTCAGGTTAAGCTTACAGTTAGGCGAAACAGATAGCAATCTTTCATGCAGCCCCCAAATAGGTTAGAACATTGAAAATAAGATGTCCTCTGGTCAATCTGGTTTGAGAGAGGCAACTGGGAACTGTGCTGGTAATTCTTACAGACAAAGCCTGCACTGTGCTTGGCAGAGCAGGGGCAAATGTAAGTAAAAACATGATGAAGTTTCCTACCGATTTGAATCTGGCTTTTTCCTAAGAGAGTGTTCACTTTGTTGCTGTAGATCTTTGTTTGACTGTTTTCCAGAGCTCCTATCAGGTTTTTTCAGCTAGTTTCTGATTGTTTCCTTAAATTTCCGTGGGAGAACTCAGAGCGTCCCAGTCCACTGTTTTGCTGACATTACCCTATATGTTAAATTTTAAATGGCTTTATAATATTCCTTTGTAGAAATGCATCTTAATTTCCCTAACTTTTCTCAAGTTTACTGTAATTGAAGTTGCTTCTAGTGTCTTTCATGGATACTGTTGAGTAAGATAATAAATATTATAAAATATTCATCATTTTTGCTAGTTACATCATGATGGTTTTCTAAATCTTATATAACTGTTCGAAAGATACAAACACTGTAAGGTTCTGTTTGTATACAGCAAATGATATCTAAAAACTGTTAATAATTAATACTCTAATAATCACCTTGCCAGAATGTCTTCTTTTCTCACTCGTTTTTGGATTTCACCCCTGTTAGGACTGGATATTCTTTTTATAAAGCAAAGAAAAAACAAACAAAAATAATTTTGTTGAAGGGAAAGGTAAAAAACAAATTTTCTTTTAATTAGAAGGTTTAATTCTTTATTGAGAATCAAATTTTTGAAAAATACTCATAAATCATTCCTCAAATTGCGTGTGTGTGTTCTGTAAGATAATTAATTGTTTCAAATGAAGTACAATGAAAAATGGGCTTCATTATCACAAAATGAAAAAGAGATTGGTGTCTATATCTTTCTAGTCTAACATATGGTGAGTAATTTTTCAGCAAATCTCCTGTAAAAAAAGATAAATATATTTGCATCTTGAAAAAAATTAATTGTGCAATTAGTTGATAATTTATTTATCACTATATGGTATTTCATTAACATTACTCTTTCAAAAAACCAAACAAACAAGTTAACTGGTTCCAAGTTTACTGTTTAGCCTTGCTCCTGCTACTATCCATTTACTCATGGTTGGACAGTGGACTTGAGTGTCACTCTCTTGTTATGCACATAACCTGTGAAAGCAGAGTAATCAAAGAGTCTGCTTAGATGGAGGAGCAACAGGCAATGGATCCCAAAGGTTGGCGTGTGGAACTAAATGATGGCCACTTCATTCCTGTACTGGGATTTGGCACCTCTGCACCTGATGAGGTAATAATGGCGGTCTTGAGGTTGAGAATTCCAAAGAAAATAGATGCAGAATGAGTGGAAGCTGAATCAGATTCTCAACTCTTTGGATTCCTGTTTGACCCTTGCAGGCTCACTTGGTTCTTGTAAACAGGCTAGAACCATTCCTTATACAAAGAGACAATGTAGTCAGTGTTCACTCTGCATCAGGGTCTGACCATGTGGTCACCTACAGATTAATCTGGGTTTTTCTCCAGTTTCTAGCTATTTTCCAGGTTGGCAAAAGGTTTGGAAATGAGCAGTCAAGAACACTGACTATCAGCTGTCTGGATTTGAGGGTGACTGCATAGGAGTGGTTTCTCCAACTATTTCTGCAACTCAAGAAATTTTCCTCCCATCAAGAGGACATGATCCAGAGAGATATTTATGGTAACAAGTCCTGGAGATGAACTGAATGACAAATGATGGGAGACAGTGCTGTTCTGCTATGGGGTGGCCTGCTGAGTGCCAGGCAATAAATATTCTACTTGTAGTTTCCATAGTACTTCTCCTCCTGCTTGAAAATTTATCTGGAATGGAAAATATAACATCATTTGAGGGAATAAGCTACAGTCTTCCAAGACAAGGTTTCAATTCTTGATCTTTGTTGACATACTTTTGATTGAAGCAAATAGGTAAAGTTGAACCTTGGAAAGAAGAAGGAGAAAAGTGGGCAAGTCACTAGAATGGAAGCCAGAAGTTTGTCTTCCAATTTTGTCTTTAGTCTATTTACTTGTACGACAAGGGACTAGTATCTAAACTTTGAGCCTCACGATCTCATCTATAAAACAGAAGTAAATATTCAAAGAGATTTTTTGTAAACAGATGACAGAACTTGTTTACTTTGTAGTGAAAAGTTGTATGAAGGCAAGAGAAGGGTCAAGGATACCACTGAAGCTTCAGCTTTGGTAAACCCCCAAAAGCCTGTACACCTAAGGAAAAAGCATGACCAGCAGAGGTCAATATGTATTTACAAGCAATGTTATTGAAAATAGAAAGCCCCTGAAATGCTGAAAAATAAATGGAATATTATTCAGCCTTAAAACTGAAGGGAATTCTGCCATTTGCAACCATAGGGATGAATATGGAGGACATTATGCTTAGTGAAATAAGACAGACACAGAAAGACAAATACTGCATGATCCCACTTATATATGGAGTAAAAATAAAACTCATAGGAAGAGAGTATAGGAATGGTGACCAGGGGTTGGGGGAGAGGTCAGTGGGAAAAATGAGGAGATGTTGGTCAAAGGTTACAAACTTCCAGTTACAAGATGAATAAATTCTGGAGATGTAAGGTACTGCATAGTGACTACAGTTGATAATAATGTACTTTGTTCTTGAGATTTGCTAAGAGAGGAGATCTTAATTGTTCTCACCACACATACACAAAAGTTAACTATGTGATGTGATGGATATGTTAACTAGCTTAATTTTGATAATAATTTCACAATGCACACATATATGAAAACATCATGTTGTGTACTTTTTTATATGTATATAATTTTTATTTACCATGTGCTGTGTGATTACCCTGGTAGAGGACTCACAGAAGCTTTCACCTTGCTTCTTGAGACTTCATCCATACACCTTTTTGTTTGTTCATTTTGCTTAGTTCCCTCTCAAAATATAAATCATATCCATGACTACTACTATAAGTTGAATTTTTTCAGTACTTTCAGCAAATCACTGAACCTGTGGGAGGTCATGGGGACCTTTGATGCTAGTGATCAACAAATAATTGCCCAGGATTGAATGAGTTCGTGGGATGTACAGCTGTTAGTACTCACCAGGAAAGATGCAGGCAAACTGCCATGAGTTCATCACCACACATGCAGAACTAACCTAGACATGAGGACAAGTTAAGACTTGGGAAGATCAAAGTTTGTGTCTTAGCTATCTCTCATTCACGTGGATATCCAACTACTACTCTGTTTGCTCATCTAGGTTCCTAAAAGCAAAACTGTGGAGGTCACCAAATTAGCTATAGAGGCTGGGTTCCACCATTTCGATTCTGCTTTTATATACAATAATGAAAAGGAGGTTGGACAGGCCATCCGAAGCAAAATTGAAGATGGCACTGTGAAGAGAGAAGACATATTCTACACTTCAAAGGTAATGTGTTTTTTATTTGTGTGTGTGTGCACATTCGTGAATATGATTGTGTAGAGATGATAATTGATAGGATCAGAAGTTGTTTTGTGAATATTGATGCAACTTTTTTCAAATATTTTCATGTCTTAAATCTAGGGTCAAAAAAAGATGATGGCTTTCTCATCATTGCTTTGTTCAAATTTTACAATTTTAAAGTAAAGTCACTTTACTTTTCTGAGCCTCAGACCACATCAGTGTGATTTATCTTGGACTATTGAATCAGACAGAACTGCAATCAGATTATAGCTTTCCTTATCCTCTGGGTGACCTACTAAAATTTGTTAACATTCTGCATCTCAATTTTCACCTCCATCAATAAGAGAGAGCAATATAAGTGGCACTTTGAGTTTAAGCAAGAGATAGCTAATGTGTCTTTAATAGTGTCCAGCACTCACTAAGATATTCAAATCACTTGTTCCCTACAGTTACCTAAACAAAAGCCATACTACTTATTCCCAACAGGATTCAATGTTGGGTAGAATTAGGGCATGTTTGTAAAGTGCTTTGTAAATTCCTTCAAACATAATTCAGATAATGGTCTTGATAATCATTTGGTAACACTTTTCATCTACTGGGTCATTTCCTTTCATTGTTGGTAGATGCACTGATGATAAATCCAAAAGAAAAAAATAGCGTTTCTATGGGCAAGTCAGATCAAAATGGAACTCAAGAAGGAAAAGTGTATTTTTCCCTAGGGTGTTCAGTTTCCAACCTGTAGAAAAATGTCTAATTATTAGATGAAACAAGAGAAACAAAACTGACTGAAGTATTAATCCAACACAACTTCCATATTTTATGTCTGCAGCTTTGGTTGACTTTCCTTAGACCAGAGTTGGTTCAACCAGCCTTGGAAAACTCTCTGAGGAAACTTCAACTGGACTATGTTGATCTCTATATTATTCATTATCCAGTGGCTTTGAAGGTTGGAAATTTGCGTGTTCACACCTATTTTGCTTCTTGTGTCAGAATGTCTATCAATTTGTGTGGAAGTTGAATTTAGATTTTCCTTAGAAGGATGTAGAGATTATTACTCTAGAGAAGAATCCCCAAAGTAATAATTCCTGATTAGCTTTTTATTTGTTTAATTTTGAGAAAGTTTAGCCCTCAACTAACATCTGTTACCAATCCTCCTCTTTTTGCTGAGGAAGATCGGCCCTGGGCTAACATCCATGCCCATCTTCCTCTACTTAATATGGGACACTGATACAGCATGGCTTGACATATGATGCATTGGTCCACACCTGAGATCCAAACATGTGAACCCCAGGTTGCGGGTCACCAAAGTGGAGCATGTGAACTTAACCGTTATGCCACTGGGCTGGCCCATGGATTTTTTTATAATCCTTAATTTCCTTTATGTCTCCAAGAGATAAGAGTTCAGTAATCTCAAATCCCCTGCCTCAAAAACTTGAGGACATAAAATTAGACATATTTAACACACAATCCTGACTATGACTTCTGAGTCTCTTGAGCATGTTGCAGAGTTTCATGCAGCTGTGGTCAGCAATGAAACTGCCTTAAACTTGTGCATAATGAGTTGATCTCCACTCTCTCACCATTTCAAGTTGAAAGCAGATTTGGTGGTGCTCCCTCTGGGTGGGTCTAAAAGTGGTAGACTTGATAGAGACTCGGGAGACCTTACCTACATCATTGCCTATCTTCTCAATGGAATTTTGTAGACTGCACTTAGTCATTAAGGATTGTGTTATGTAGAATTCTTGATTTTACATTATAGAAAGTTACTCAAGCTTTCCTCTGCAAAATAGTTTATTGGTCTATGTAAATGTGAAGTCCAATGCCATGAATACATTTAAGTTTTGGAATAGTCTTCAGAAATGTCTCCTTCTCTCTATCCCTTAACTTTGAGTTACTTTAGGTTTGCTTTAATTTTGATGCAAAAATTTTAGTTTATTGCAAATATGGCCTTCTGGCAATTCAAGTCTTATGGTCATTAACACTTAAGAGCATCTCTGGATCTTCCATCATCCATGTTATTCCTGAAGAGAAGCTCGATAGATCCTGTGTGGTTCGTATGCCTGCCCTAGAGCCATCAGATGTTCAGAGGGATTGGATCTCTGATTGTCTAGCCTGGGTCAAGATTGCAATAATTATTCTGGAAATAAGTTCATGTAACTTACTGAAATTCCCAGTGCAAGTGAGGCCTTTCACAAGAGGAAAGTGAATGAGGTAGACAAATGTAGCATAAGTCACTTTTTGTTCACATTAGGACCTAGGAAAATGGTGTTTATTCAAACATATGATAGTGTAAGAGATTAGAGGAAGCCTGTCTCATAAAAATATTACTTACAACACCATATGCAAATCAATTTGCAAATATTAGTATCCAGAATGTTGCACCACCTGCCTCATGGAGATTTAGTGTCTTGGCCCTAGATGACCCTGGAAGCCTGGATAAGTGTGGAGAAATTATTTTCTGACACCACAAAAATTACTGTTTCTATTCAGCCAGGGGAAGAAATTCTTCCAAAAGATGAACATGGAAAACTAATATATGACACAGTGCATCTCTGTGCCACATGGGAGGTGAGTGATTGGAAGAGAGAACACAGAGGAGGAAGCCAGGAGAGGGAGAATATGGTTCATTTCTTCAACTTATAAGAATGAACTATGCATCTTTGGATTCAGCTATACATAAATTTTAAAAGAGCTGATGTGCTGTACTGGGGTGGAAGAAATCATTACTGAAATATTTATACAAAGGAATGAAGCAGAAGAATTTGGGAGAATTAAAATAGGCATCTCTTTCCTTCAATGTATAATGCTCTCTTTCTTATTTCTAAGGAGAAGACTAATTCTTATTCTTGCTTTCACTACATTCCTCTGTATTTAATTTATTACTTTTCCTTGGTAATCATGCCAATTGGCTTAATTGCCATTTCTTGACAGTTTATCCTTTTGAGAGATTTTTCTTTCACTTATTCTTGATCTATAGCCAATTTCACAAATGATTCTTTACCACCCCTTCCTCCCCAGGCCATGGAGAAGTGTAAGGATGCAGGACTGACCAAGTCCATCGGGGTGTCCAACTTTAACCGCAGGCAGCTGGAGAAGATCCTGAACAAGCCAGGGCTCAAGTACAAGCCCGTCTGCAACCAGGTGAGTACCCTTGGCCTCCTCTCCTTTCTGTTCTTCATATCCTTCTTGTACTACTGCCAGATGTCTACTTGGCCTCCCCTCCTATTCATCCTACCTTTATGGAACAGAAGAGCCTTGAGAGCAGAGCTTCTGTCTAGAAGGGTGTGAATAGAACACACAGTTGTATCTCTGTTATGTAAAGTCTTCTTGAAAAGGTGGTAAGACCTTACTGCTAAATTGTGTGTAACAATTTAAGGAAGGTAAAGGAGGTGACAGAGGGCTGGAATAGTTACCAGACCTTAGAGGGAAGGTAACATTCCACTCAGCTGTAAAAAATGGCCAGAGATGGGATGGGGGAAAGTGATTTGGAGGGAATTGTGTATAAGAAGGAAGTTCATGAACTCATGGAATGTGCAGTAAATAGGGAAAGAGTGAAAATAAGATGAGGTAGGTGTCAGGAGTTTGTCTTGGGTTTGGATGCCTGATTTCTTTGCCTTGTTAACTCTCCTTTCAAGTGTCCTTGAGTAGGAAGCTTGGATACAAGAAAAATTAACTGGAGACTATGAAAGTCCTCCAGGCTGGAGGGATGAAGTTACTGGTTTATAGTGACACTAATGGTGGATGAAATCAACATTGAGGAACATTAAGCAGGAACATAGAGCTGACATTGTGATTTACTCAATCTTATTCTGGCTCGTTTCATCGATTTCTACCCTTAAGTTAACTCTACAAACACATTATTCTGTGTCTGCTTCTGTGCTATCACTTTTTTTTATTCTATTTTTTTTATCGTGGTAAGAAAAATTAACATGAGATCTACTCTCATAGTAAATGTAAAGTATACAATATAATACAATATTGTTAACTGTGGGGATCACTTTGTACAGCAGATCTCTAGAACTCATTCATCTTGTGTAATCAAGACTTCATGCCCCCAGTTAGCATCTCCCAATTTCTCTCTCTTCCCAGCCCTTGAAACCACCATTCTGCTCTCTGATTCTGTAAGTTTGATTATTTTAGATTCCTCATATAACTGGAATCATATAGGACTTATCTTGTGTAGCACTAGTAAATGTCTTAGTACATTTACCATAATGTCCTCAAGGTACAACTTGGAATCAGGGAGTAAAATAATTTGACTGGAAAATGTAGCTTATAAAATTCAAGAATTTGACATATAACGATATAGACTCATGATTTTCAATTATAAATGATAAAAAATTCATGTGATCTTTGCATTAGTTTTATTCCTGATTTTTATTATGAAATTATTCAGAAAACTTAAGAGTTTGGTAAAGGACATTCATGTTTTCCCTCTTATATCAAAAAATTTTCACATTTTGCCACATTGCCAAATAGATATATGTGTGTCTATATATATATATTATATAATTATAATATAATATAATATAATATATAATATAAGCAATATTTTTCAGAGTTTCTTCAAAGTAAACTGTAGACATGACAATGTACCCCTACAGACCTCAGAAAATATATACTGTAGTATCCAATCCATATTCAAACATTCCCATGATTTTCTCAATGTCTTTTACAGATCTTTTCTTTTTGTTGTTGTTTTTTTTGTTTGTTTGTTTGTTTGTTTGTGAGGAAGATCAGCCCTGAGCTAACATCCATGCTAATCCTCCTCTTATTGCTGAGGAAGACAGGCTCTGAGCTAACATCTATTGCCAATCCTCCTCCTTTTTTTTCCCCAAAGGCCCAGTAGATAGTTGTATGTCATAGTTGCACATCCTTCTAGTTGTTGTATGTGGGACGCGGCCTCAGCATGGCCAGACAAGTGGTGCATCGGTGTGTGCCCAGGATCCAAACCTGGGCTGCCAGGAGCAGAGCGTGTGCAACTAACCGCCAAGCCACGGGGCTGGCCCCACAGATCTTTTCTAATCAGGAGCCAACTGTCATCCACATACCATTGACAAATGTTTCTTTAGATATTTTAACCTAAAATAGTCATTCAACCTCTTTTTCTACCATGACATACACATAGGTTTCTGTCAAGTATTCTGGATTTATCAGGTTGTTATCTTGTGATGCCACTTAACTTGTTTCTTTATTCCCAGTTTCCCTAAATTAGAATTTAGACCTGAAGACCTTATTACATTATGGTTGAACATTTTTGGCAAGAAATTGTCCTCTGCATGCTGTGTCCCTCAAATTCCTCTCCAGTAGGAAATCCATCATGATAAGTTGATCCACTAGGAGAGATGTCAGTTTTGTTGTCCTGGTTAAACCAGTGGTAGCCAGGTCTTTTCTTTATAAATGTATATTTTCCCCTTTGAAATTACCTAGCAATCTGTTGGGTGATAATTGTTATCAGGGCAAGTCACACAGCCCCCAAATTTTAATGTAATGGTTGAGTATCCATCAATGATTTTACCCCGAATTAGTGATTTAACTTGGATTTGTAAGTAATTATTTTCAATTTTAAACACTCTTTTTAATCTACTTACCAACAATTTATTGGAAAAAGAAAATTCTCTCATCAACTCAGGATGAAATACCATTATTCCTATAAGTAGTGTAGAATCCTAATTCCTTCCTTTTAAAAATCAATGTTCCCAGAAAGCAGTTGTGTAATAATCACCTTCAATGGGAACAAAAATTTTTGCTTTCTCTCTCACCACTGTGGACACCCAAATTTTTATTTACTCTGTGCATTATAATTGCTTTTAATCATTATTCCTTTTATGTTCAAATCTAACCAAATGCCACCAGTGGCATCTCCATCACACTGGTTCTTTTATCCTTTAAGTGTCCTTTCATGATATTTTGAGTAATTTCTTGCTTTCTGGCATAACTTGATGTCCAAGGCTCAAACAGTTCTTTTCCTGTTCCTTATCTGAAATTACCCACGTCTCCTTGTAGTGTACAATGGTATTGAGTAACCAAGATCTGGTCCACAGTGTTGCTTCTTCAGGAATGTAATTTTGTTTTCCCCTTTCTGAGAATAGAAGTATAGTACCTATTTTATAAAAAGTCATTACTTGATGTTGATGTTTCCAGTTCAAATTTAATATTACACAGTGTTTTATTCAAAATTGTTTTCCTTTTAAACTTTCTCTGTCATGCTAATATTGACATTTCATATAATCTGACACTTTTCAATCTTGGCATTCTACAGGTGGAATGTCATCCTTATCTCAGCCAGAGCAAACTGTTGGATTTCTGCAAGTCAAAAAATATTGTTCTAGTTGCCTATGGTGCTTTGGGAACCCAACGTATAAAGGGAAGGTAATGGGGGCTGACATGGTGATGTAGCAGTTAAGTTCACACACTCAGCTTCAGCTGCCCTGGATTTGTGGGTTAGGATCCCCCACGTGGACCTAGGCATCTCTTGTCAAGCCATGCTGTAGCTGCATCCCATATAAAGTAGAGGGCGATAGGCATGAATGTTGGTCCAGGACCAATCTTGCTTAGCAAAAAGAGGAGGGTTGGTAGCGAATGTTAGCTCAGGGATAATCTTCCTCACACAGACACAAAAAAAGAAGGTAACAAAGACAGCAGGGAGTATACCTAAAACATCATTTTTGATGAAATATTTTTCATCATATCATACTCAGTTTTCTGGAATTAACTCTCAACTAGTTTGGGGGAGACAGGGGAGGGATGGAAGAAATCCTTCTTCTTTAAAATACCATCAACAGCCAGTGGTTTTACATTATATGTGTCTGTTTGTAGATTAATCATTAACAAATGTACGCATTGAAATCTATATATGGTCCAAAAATTGAGACAAAATCATAAGCTTAAGTCATGATTTAGATATTTGTTAACTAACTAACATTTGTAGTAACACACTCTCTAAGCCTCACTTACCTGATATCTGAAATCAGGATAATAATATGTAACTCCCATGTATTATCATGATAGAAAAAAATTACAATCTGAAACATTTTTGTAAACTTCTGTAGAAATATTGCACATTATAGGTAATGACAAAATGAATAGTTTTCACTTTGGGACTACTAAATTTTTATCAATATTTTAGATTTCCAGCCTTTTCCTTTTCTTTTTCCTTTCATGCTCTTTTCCTTACTTTGGGGCTATGATCAGAGAAGAAAAACAGCCACTGAGAAGAAAAAGAGAAAAAATACATAAGTTTTAAAGCATTAGTCTCAACAGAAACATGCATCAAAATGACCTGGAGGGATTTGTAAACACAGATTGTAGGTGCCACACGTGAGTTTCTGAATCAGTTGGTATTGGATGAAGCGATGGAATACGCCTTCTTAACAAGATCCCAGATGATACTGATGCTGCTGATCCAGAGACCACATATTGAGAAGTACTGGTCTAGAGTGGACCTACTTGGTCTGTTTGGGAAACCTAACAAACTGAATATTCAGCCTTAGGTATTCAACATTTCTGCATTGCCTTCCAGGGTAGACCAGAACTCCCCGGTTCTCTTGGATGATCCAGTTCTTTGTGCCATGGCAAAAAAGTATGAGCGAACTCCAGCACTGATTGCCCTTCGCTACCAGCTACAGTGTGGGGTTGTGGTCCTGGTCAAGAGTTACAATGAGAAGAGGATCAAAGAGAACATACAGGTGATGAGTGAGGCTGTGGACATAGGTCTCTTAAATAATATCCTTAACATGTGTTTTTCTTTGTAAGGATCTCAAAGCATCTTTGGACCAGATGAGTTACCTGTTATTTCCCATGCATGTATGTCTTAATGTATTTACACCAGTCTTCTCCTACTGTGGTAACAGGAGAGGCAGCATGGCTGGATAGAATTAAGATTGCACAGAAAACATAGATTTTAATTCCAGCAGTAATTCTGCAATGTACTTTGTAGACCTGTGTAAATAAATCTCGTTTTCTTCGTTCCAAATAAGGGGATTTTTAAATGTGATTTTATAAATCCTTTTGTGCTGCTATAACAAAATACCACAGACAAGGTGACTTATGAACAACAGAAATTTATTTCTCACAATTCTGGAGGTGGGAATTCAGAGATCATGGTACCAGCGAAGCCAGATGAGGGCTCTCTTCTTGGTCACAGACTTCTTGTTAGACTTTAAAATGGTAGAAGGGGCAAGGGAGATCTTTCAGGTCTTGAATGGCTCCACTATCATGACCTAATCACCACTCTAGAGCCCCACTGTCTAATACCATCACAGTGAGGTTAGGTTTCCAACATACGAATTTTGGGAGCATGGAAACATTCAGGCTGTAGTGGTGATCTTCAGTCTCCAAATCAATATGGTGTTAGTTTGCATTTCCTCAAATACTAATGTAGTTTCATTTTCATGCATTTAATCTCCTTGAGCTTCCACTTCTGTGAAGTGTCTGTGAAAGTCTTTGTCCGTTTTTATTAAATTGTCTCTCTTTTTATTTATGTATAGAGATACCAATAGTATACCATTAGCTATAGCTGCATAACAAACTATCCCCAATTCAGACATTTACTACAGAATTTATTTAGCTCATCATTCTGTGGTTTGGCAGTTATCCTGGGCTCAACTAAGCAGTTCTATTCTTGGATGGGTTCTCTCATATATTTGCAGTTAAATGCAGAACAATGTAGCAGCTCTGCTTTAGGAAGTTGATTTGGCTGCTGTCAGAGGTGGGTAAACTCTGTCCCATATTATTTTTCACAGAGTTGGCTAGACTATAGCCATTTAACCTGTTCTTCTTCTCATCACAGTGGCATGATCCCAAGGCTGTGAGTGGATACTTGCAAAGCCTTTTCATGTCTTGGCTCAGATCAGACTCACCAGTGCTTGTGACAAATTTTATTATCCAGTACTTAATTACAGGCTAGGCCAGATTCAAAGGGCAAAGAATTTTGCAAAAGTGTTTTTGTCTTTCCATTCAAACTTGGGTCCCTAATACAGCTGGAATTGGTTTTTTAATACAATGCTAAAAGGGACCCAAATATGTATATGTTTAAATGGAAATCCAAGTGCCCATATTTTCCCACAGATTTTCATCCTCATCTCTGTCTTACATCAAATGTCTCTCAGTCCATTTCTGGCCTTTCTCTTCTATTCAACTACTTAATTTTGTGTACCTCAAATGACAGAGGAAAATAAGTCTTGCTTTCTGAAAATGGTAAAATGTTTTCTCCATTCCTTTTTATTCTTTAAGAATGTCTTGTCTATGCTTGACTACTTTTTCTTTTATGTAAAATATAGTATCAGTTAACAAATTCCAAGAAAAATAAGAGAGTAAATCTTGGTTCATATTGCATTGAAACTGTAGATGAATTTGGGGAAAACTGAAGTCTTTACAATATTGAAATTTGCAATCCATGAATATGCTATGAATTTTTAATCACTTAGTGTTCTTTATATATTTTAATAAATTTTATGGCTTTTTCCACAAAGGAATTTACAATATCCTTTTGCTAGATTTATCCATAAACGACCAATAATTTTGATATCCCTTTGATAACTTTTTCCTAACTTTTCAAGATTTTCAATGTGCAGAAAAGTTGAAAGAATAATACATTATATGCCTTACTTAGATTCATCAATTGTTGACATTGTCTCTGCTATCAATCTATCTATCTCTCTCTCTATCTATCTGTCTCTCTCTCTGTCTACTTATCTATCTATCTATGTATCTATCTATGTATCTATGTATCTATCTATCTATGTATCTATCTATCTATCTATCTATCTTTCTCTATCTATCACTACCTTGGAGTATCACTATAGATGTGTGGATTTATTTAGTTCAACATGTTAGCCATTACTGACATTCTTTTTGATGCTTAAAGTGTCTTGCTTTTAGACAGTGATATGCTCTTCAAGTCAGTTACTGTGTCCTTTGAACATGACATCATTAGTATTTGGACAATTATTTGTTTAAAGTATCTTGAAAAAAAGTTCCTTTCACATTGTAACTGTTCATGGATGGGATATGGAAATATACCTGTATTCATCAAAATTATTAAATTATGTTGTCTGTTTTAAAAGTGTATCTCTAGATTCTTTTGGATCTTCTAAGTACACGACCCTATCTCTTTGAGTAACGTCAGCTTTGTTCCCTCAGCTGTTTTAAAGTTCTCCTTTTTGTCCGTAATCTTGTGCTGTTTCAATATATTATATTAAGGGCTGGATTTCTATTTAATTTTTGCCTGATATTTATCACCAATTGAGTATTTTGCTTGATGTCTTTAAAAACTCTTGGAAACTTCTAAGATATTTTGAGTATTGCCTCTGCATCATTCAAGTCTGATTTGCTCGCATTTCCAGATTAGCAACTACGCAATATAAAAATCATAAAAATATTTTTACTTCTGTGATAGGTTTTTGAATTCCAGTTGTCTTCAGAGGACATGAAAGTCCTAGAGGGCCTAAACCGAAATTTTCGATATGTTCTTTTTAAAAAGTAAGTGACTTTGGTAAATATGTCTGACAATTTATTTTCTGATAATAAGTGTATGATGATTGTTAAAATTTATGTCAATATCAGGAAGACAGAGGCCAGTTTGAGTCAGGGATGAGACAAGAGATATCTAGAATCTCATCACAGATCCACTCCAAAGCTTTGTTTACTGACACAACGACAGGGTGAATGGATTGCCATCAGCTTGGATTTACATATATATGTCCTGACCCCGTCACTTCATGTAACTTTCCAAGAAGCCTGATATCATTGCTGAATCTACATCTTCCATGTATCCCTCCTATTTCTTTGACTATCTAGTGGACATACACTGTGGATATCACCAGTGCAGCCTCATTCAATGTTTCCAAAACTGTGTTGATCATCTTCTTCTCCCAAATTCTCCATTCTTTATCAGATTAAAGTCTTCTCCATCAAGCTTCTGACTCACACCAGAAATGGCCTTCACCCCACCCTCCCTATGGAATCTTCATAATATCCTGCCAGATATATGTCCTTCATATGTTTTGAGATCTCTCCCTTCTCCTTTTCATTGCATGTTTGTTCAGGACCGAAATAGTGCATTCCTTTCCAGAAAGCCTGGCCTTGTGGGATCAATAGGAATTCTTGGTTTAGATTTTCTGAAATATGGAGATCTCAATGCAGAGGACAAAATTTTCAGGAAGAGAGATATAAACCAAAAGAAGGATGTAGAGGCAAAAACCCCATTGTTGGATATAATTTATAGCCACCAGAAGATCTTTAATTAAAGCATATAAGTTTCTGGAATTTTGAGAAAAGACCTTCATTATAAATGATAAAAAGGGAGGAATGCACATACATCCCTTTTGCCTGTGAGAATAGTAATTCATAGTAATAATAAATATGGTATTGTATGGAAAAAACTTGCATAACGGCAAGTTGTGAATAGTCAGAATTTGGTAGTTATATTATTCTCCTTGCTAATATATTTATTAATACAAAGACAAGTAAAGAATAAGATAGAGAAATAATGCAGAGAGAAAGAGAGAGTGGTAATCAATCAGCAATTCTCACAGTTGGTTAGATATTTTAATTATAAGCCGTCATTTTGTTATCAATTTCTATGTTGGTTATTAATCAATAGAGATTTCTTTACTGTACAATAACCTCCTTGGAGATGGGACCTGATTTTTAGATGACATTCTTTATACCTCTAAATATAACTGGATATGTTATACGTGGTGGGCAGTTAGTGAATAATTAAAAAACTTAAAAAATAGAAATGAAAATGCTATCAGTAACCTGTGTCATTGTAAAGTATATTTTAGTGCCGAGCATGTGGTTGAACTTATCCTCTGCAAAATGAAGCAGAATCGGTCTCTTCTTCCAACAAGGATTTGAAATAAGTAAGGACAGGCTATTGTGTTGTGTTATTGACAGAATTATCTCTGGAGAGGAACATATTTGAATATTTGACTCCTTGTGTCCTGTGTATTAATTTCTGGGCAGAGAATATGATTTCAATAATTTACTTAATATATTTTTTAAAAATTGTTATAATGTCATGTTTCTGAAAGAAAGAAAGGCAGACTTCACACCCAGTCGGGAAATAAAATGTTTACCTATCCCCTAATGACAGCTCCATAGAAATCACTTCTCTACACCCCAGAAACAGAGTCATTGAACTCATATATGCATTGTTCTTTCTCATTATAGTGTTGCTGACCACCCTGAGTATCCATTTTCTGATGAATATTAACACAGAGCCCTTTATGCTGACTTCTACCAGAAGCTCTGCATGCAGACAATGAAGCAGCAAATGTCTCAGATGTTGGTGATCATACACATCAGCATGGGTTCCATCCACGCTGCTTAGCAATTCATCCTCAGCTAGACTCAACTCCATAGGTCAGGAAGGAAAAGCACTCAATTTTTGTCACTTTCTGTAAAAATTAAAGTGTTTTTGCCCTAAAATCTCTTACCTACTCTAGTCTCTGTTTTGTATACTTTCTTTTCTTCAGACTTATTAGAGCTAAAAACTGATTTGATTAGAGTTTGCAGTTGGGGGTTGGAAGAGGATACAATAACAGCAATTTTATAGACATTTCTGGAGTGATATGGGTCAAGTATGCAGTCTGTAGGGAAGTAGTAGTTAGCAGGTATTTATCAGTCAGTGTCCCTTTAGGTCTTCAAGGTACTGGAGGGCACACTGCATATGGTCTGGAAGGTGAGGCCCGTATCGCAAGGATGATCAGCAATGCATAAGCTCTCTTTCAGCAGCTTAGGGGATAATTGCTCCAGGAAATCCCAGAATGAATTATCCCTCTGGCAGAGCTGGCCCTGGAGATCAGGGGAACCAGCCTCAAAGAATGATTAGGACTCAGGCATAAACAATGTTTAGGAGGAGGAAGTTGAGCAAATATCTGTTTGTGAAACTTTGCAAAATGCCTCGTTTGTACTTCTCTCTTGCACATAAAAAGAAAATTTCCACAGTATTTTATGAAACAGCCAGAGCTGACAGGACTAGACTGCCACGTGCGTTCAGGTAACAGTGCAGAGCTTGCTGGGTTGTAGTTGGGCAGAAATTCAAAGGAAGAATAGACTTGTCAAATCACCTTGAACATTATCTCCATATTTATCAAATTTTCTCAGGTTAAAAAAAGTGTAAATTTGATAAACTTGATCTTTTTTAATGTTTCAAACATAAAGCAAGGAACACTTACAAATACAAAACACAAAATATTCCAAAGCCATTAAGTATTTTCTCTAAAGCCAATATTAATATGGTGAATACACTTAGTAATTCCAATTCTCATAAATTTTTAAAGACCATTTGAAAATATTTGCATTCAAAATTGCACAATGCTTACAACATTTGCTAACTTTTAGGAACATCTCTTATAAAAAATATACCTTTATTTTCTACTAGTGTTAGTTGTACAAACTGAGTCACGTAATTATAAGGAACCAAAGTTTTATCTCAGACCATGTTGTTAAAATCTGAGACAATCATGGACTAAACAGGGGCAATCAAAGAACTTTGAGACTAACAGTTTTTCAGCAACTGGGTACAATTTCTAACCCCTTTACTTGCAATTGTTGCTTCCTCTCATTACCACATTCTCCTGTCATAACCTCTGGGCTTTCTAAAGCCATGCTTTTAAGCTGATACCTAACCAACAAGCTGTGTAACCCATACTCTTTCCTAAAATGATTCATCATTCACATTAGAGGAGGTCTTATATGTTCTCAGAGTTCAATTCACATTTGTCTGCCTGTAGCATAAGTTTACATTGTTAAGACCTAGTCCATAATTATTGATATTGAATCCTTTCAGTGGGCTGCAATTGTACACCTTTTATTTTTTATAACATCTCTTTGGACATTTTTTTTTCAGTCAATTTGTTAAAATTCATCTTAAAGAGTTGCTCCCTTGGGAAGATCAGTGTATATGACAAAGTTAGCCAAATAAATTTCCTAGGCATGCTTCAGGCAGGAAAAAGATAAGCAGAAGATGCAAAGGCTGAAGAAATTATATTGTCTAACTAATTCAGAACTGATCACAAAAGATGGTCAAATTTTAATATTATTGAAAAAGCTAGAATTCCCATTTCTGATCTTACAGATAAAGACCTTGGAAGTCAACTTCCATCCTCATAACAAGAAAAACAATAAACAAACTAAAAATCACCAATTCTCATTATATCTATCAGAAAACTGAAGTGAGAGGGCAAATTGCATACCGAAATATTGTAGAGACAGGTGGATACAGGGAAATCTGACATACTGGGAGCAGAACAACTCACCCCAAGTGAGTTGGACTGACATTACACAATTTCGAGGCTTACTAGAAGCTACAGCAATAAAGACAATGTGGTATTGGTGAAATGGATCAATGGCACAGAATAGGGAGCCCAGACATAGAGCCACATAAATAGAGTTGTGGTTTTGACAGAAGAACAAAGACAATCCAATGGAGAAAGAATAGTCTTTTCAACAAATGGTGCTGGAACTAGACATCGACATGCAAAGAACAAATCTAGACTCAGACCTTACACCTTTAACAAGAGTTAACTATATTTTCTTTGGAAAAATGACTGTTCATACCTCTTCCCATTTTTTGATCAGGTTTTTTTTTGTTTTGTTACTGAGTTACATGTGTTCTTTAAATATTTTGGAGATTAACCTCTGGTTGGACATGTGACTTCTAAATATTTTCTCCCAGTTGGTGGGTTGTCTTTTCATTTTGTTCCCAGTTTACTTCGCCTTGATGAAGCTCTTTAGTCTGATGTACTCCCATTTGTTTATTTTTTCTTTTGTTTCCATTGCCTGAGTAGACATGGTTTTCGAAAACATGCTTTTCAGACTGAGGTCAAAGAGTGGACTGCCTATATTTTCTTCTAGGACTTTTATGGTTTCAGGTTTTACATTCAAATCTATAATCCATGTTGAATTAATTTTTGTTTACGGCATAAGATAATGGTCTACTTTCCTTCTTTTGCATGTGGCTGTCCAGTTTTCCCAACACCAGCTATTGAAGAGACTTTCCTTTCTCCATTGCATGTCCTGGCTTCTTTGTTGAAGATTACTATCCACATACGTGTGGGTTTATTTTTGGGCTTTCAGTTTTGTTCCATTGATCTGTGTGTTTGTTTTTTTTTTACCATAATGTCTTGATAACTATAGCTTTGTAGTATTTTTTTAAGTCAGGGATTGTTATGGCTCCAACTTTATTCTTTATTCTCAGTATTCCTTTGGCTATTCGGGGTCTTTTGTTCCACGTAAGTTTTAGGATTCTTTTTTCTCTTTCTGTGAAGAATGTCATTGGGATTCTAATTCAGATTTCATTGAATCTGTAGATTGCTTTAGGTTATATGGACATTTAACTATGTTTATTCTTCCAATTCATGAGCATAGACTATCTTTCCATTTCTCTATGTCTTCTTCAATTTCTTTCAATAATGTGTTTAGTGTATAGGTCTTTCATCTTTTTGATTAAATTTTTTCCTATTTTTTTTTTCTTTTTGATGTGATTGTAAATGGGTTTGTATACTTTATTTCTCTTTCTGCTAGTTTGTTATTAGTGTATACAAATGCAACTTATTTTTGTAGGTTCATATTTAACCCTGCAACATTGATACAATTTGTGATTATTTCTAATAGTTTTCTGGTGGATTCTTTAGGATTTTCTATATATTATATATTATAT